ATAGAGAAGCCTGTCGTTGGACCATTTTGCCAACTCAGAGCGCATGCGGACCCGCCGAGTCAGCAAGGGGAGGCAGAGAGAGAGTAGGGAAAAAAACTAATGTGTGTCTGAAGGAGGTATGAGGGGGTACCCACAGGGAGGGTGACAGGGGAGAGTTAGCTTCCCCTTGCCGGAAAATCACAGAAAGATTTCTACGTCTGTTGACGCTAACAACAATCTTAATTTATGCACAGAATTGACATTAGGCTGAGTTCTGGACTGCCAATGTCACTTGTGCTGGGGGTGCAACTAACCCCCAGCACACATATCTCATTATATGCAGTGTTTCAAGCTAAAACACTGCATATACTGATTCCTACCTCCATGGCCACTTCAAATCACTGGAGTAATCCTTTAAATTTGGAAGACAATTATCACTATAGTGAATAATCCTGTATGTGTTTTATCTCCCGTTCTGACATCCAATCCCATGTGTTCCCTATTTAGGATCAATTAGTTTCTATGGTTTCATAAGGATACCCATTTCTGTTTCGTTAGAGATTTTGCCTTTTAACTCAAAGTAGTTTGGTGACTTGTTCGAGAAGGATTCAAGAGCTTTGTCTTGATGCGGGCAGGTGAGTTTAAATTCTTATTACAATGTTCAAAAACCCACTTTTATTTATTTTATTTCACGCACAGTTTACAAGTTCTTCTAAGCATCATAGCCCAGAATGGTGGCAGGAGTAGCCTGGTGCCGTTGACAGTAATAGGGCAAACCATTTGTGTCCCCAGCAGGCAACTGGGCTACTATCCTGCTGGCTCTGGGTTATAACTGTCAGAGTTGGAATGCTATTGTTAGTAGAACAACAGTGTTCCGATAATATCTAGAGGTTATATTGCAGAGAAAAACAAATGTGTATTTCTAAAGCTATAGTGCCCTGGTGGCCATTTAGGTCTCCATTCCACCCCTCTCCCCCTGTTGGGAGTAAAAAGGTAGCTTACCCGAAACTGGGAAAATGATCTTTGAAAAAAAAAAAGTCACTTATGCATCAAGTTCATCTACTTTCACCTTAAATTTTGAATTTATTTTGAATTCACATTTAATTGGCAGTTCACTCTAGTAAATAACTTTTTTTTCCCATTTTTTCCATTTTTGTCCAGGTTAGAGCTGCTTTTCGCTCTACAGTCTCACCTCCCTGACCGAAAAGCATTGGGAGACCAGTGCACATACATGGCAAAATGCGGTGCTCCACCTATTAGCTGGTCTTTATGAGACCATCTTGTTAAAATAGCAGAGTTTAATCTGTTATTTCAGAGGAAGCGCCTCTGGTGACTGTCTGGGTGACATTTATACCCTGCAATGAAAACATTTCCGTTCTGCAGAACAGTAACTTTTCTCCTGCAGGGTTAATACTAGAGTGGGGGACATGGCACCCAGACGGCTTCTTTGAGATGAAGTGTCCCTTTAATGATACACCCTGACATCGCCTCTTGTGCCATATCCACCATCGAAGGAAACTGCAATGCCTTTCTTTTTGTTTTCCCATCACCGAGGGTGGGGGTGGCTTTGGGGAATCCTAGAGCTTTTTCTCCAAAGTTGAACTCAAAACGAAAACTATATACTTATAGAACAATTTCACTTTCGGTTTTCCCTTATTAATTGCTCTCTAGTCAGGAAATAAATAAATGAAAACAGTAAAATATAAAATAAATGATGTGCTTGGCCCCATATAGCGATTAGTTTATGTACTGTCAACGGAATCTTGCGGTGTTATTTCATAAAGTGAGAATTGTCGTGAATTCAAAGTAAAGTACAAATTTATGACCGAAGTAAAAGAAACTGGGAAAATGATCTTTGAAAAAAAAAGTCACTTATGCATCAAGTTCATCTACTTTCACCTTAAATTTGGAATTTACTTTAAATTCACGTTTAATTGGCAGTTCACTCTAGTAAATAACTTTTTTTTTTCTTTTTTTTTCATTTTTGTGACATTGAGTGCCTCGTGTATTCTGCTTGAGGCTTAAGTGTTTGTGCCCAATGCTGTTAACATGTATATTATGCCATAGTATTCAGCCATAGTGCGTTGTAAACACAAAGTAGCTCTGTTACAGTATGGGAGGATTGTACGGTAAATGGATAGGGTCAATCTGTAGTGTTAGTGGAACTCTGAAGAGTGAGGAGAGAGCTGCCAGTTTTTCCATAGACCTTTTGAGATAGCGCCTGGAGAGTGAAATGTAAATCAGAAGAACTTACTACAGTCTGACAACCATCAGAGTCACTTTCCCTGGAACTTGAAGGCTATTCTCGGACTGTTTCTATAGTAGTCGAAGAAAAAAAAAAGAAAGAAAATCTCTGTGTGTTATCAGCTGCTTTAACCCACTTATCGGGTATACAGTGACCTTCCAGATCTGGCTTGTGTATAGATAGTGCCCGTTTTAATGCCAACTTTCTTTCCTTGCACAGCACATGCCAGCAACCTCTGGAATGCTCAGGATCCCACAACCCCTATCACTCAGATTTATAGACGTTAGGAGAGTATAGGTTGATCAAGGTGGCTAACTGCCGTCTGCAGAGGTACAACTAGACAGCATGTGATGGACACTGTATTGAGGCTCTAAGGAGACAGACACAAATTAACACTTCAAATGTGCATTCTGCTGCTGAGAGATGGATTCTATTTTTATATATTTTTATATCTATTTTAAAATATTTTCATTGAGTCCAAATGCTATTAAAAAAGGTTAATGTAATTCCCTGTTAAAGTGTTTGTTAAAGGGCATGAATTTCTGTAGTGGGATGAAAATGGTACTAGGATCACAAATTACTGTGAAAACCTAGAATTGATGCTAAATATCTGTAAGTGGTAAAATGCGTCACCGAGGGCACAAGGCTCTGTAGGTGTGAAGGAAAAAAACAAACCCAATGTAATATAATTTTTATTTTTTATTTTAACGTTTCGGGTTAGGAGCTGTAGTGGGAGGTTAGGGGCTTTAATGAAGAGACAGGGACAGAGGGGAAAGTAGTAAACAAAAAAACTAAAATTATTCCCCCCTATGTGTGGCTTATATGGGGCCAAGGAGGGAGGGAATTCTGATCCATTGTGGTCCGGTGGGATATACACTTTGTCTGCACTGCAGAATCTGCAATGAAGGCTTCCCTGGTGGTCCAGTGTATATGCCCTTGTGAGCTACGTTGTTCGGAGTGTTGCTATGGGAACCCACAGCAATTCTCTAAACAACGGCGCTCACAGGAGCCATGCTGGGCTGGGCACGTTTAAGGTTTAAAGATGGCTGCTACCATGCTTTGTGACCATTTTTTAGTAAACTAGTATTTACCCTCTCCCTTGTCTGTCTGTCCCGTCACTGTGGGCCACTGTAAATTATGGAGCTGAGGATAGTTGCCCATTTTGTACTACTGTGAGTTGCCATGGAAATAGGTTTCTCAACTCCTCCTATATTTTGTCAAATTTTGTATTGTCTCAGATGTATTGTACCTTTGTCTTTTTACTTCAAACAATTGTACCCATGTGCAGTTCTGTGAATGTGTTGGTACTTTATAAAGTATAATAATAAAGTGCCACTTAAAGCACTAAGCTCTCTAAGAGTGAAAGGTGCTTTAAGTCACTAACCTTTGCAGGGGTATAAGGTTGCTCTGATAACCAACAAACTATTAGTGAATGAGACACTGACAGCACAAACATTGTATCAGGGTAAAGGTGCCATTACAAAGGTTTGTGTAAAGCCGGTCAACAAGTAGCCCCCCACATGTTATTGAACAAAAACCATCACTCATTACTGGTCTTTCTCTACACTAGCTAAGGAGCAAGGGTGCAGGTAATTAAGAATCAGCTATAGAGATGATACTCTGATACTCCTCCTGCAGGCTATTACACTAGAACCACATCATTCAGTGATGAGCGTCCACAGCCACCAAGTGTCACAATTTGGACATCAGTCACAATATTTGGACCTATGTCTCTGCCAAAGCTACCTGAAAGCTGGCCTGTTAATGTTGAATATAATTATACAGATAAGGCCAAGTTATATGCACAGCGGATTTGATCATATTAATACTTAATCGTTTTACATGTTAGCACCCCGTCAAAAAGTAAGGCACATAAGGCTAGTTAGGCATAATAGATATATTTTTCCACATATACAAATCCCAAACCCTATGAACTAGGTAGATAAATCTATTTAGACGTACCTTTGGTGGCCAGATCTCCTGTTTTCAAACCATTACAGCCCAAAATAATGTTATTTTAAAATTCTAGCCAAACCATGAACGTGATGTCTGTTTATTATGTCAGCAGAATACAGAATCCCCCACTATCCCCATTCGCCTGTTATTTTTGATTTCTCCGTAAACTTCGGACAACCACAAATACCTTTTATTATTCTTTCCAGACTTATATAGGCCACATATGCTCTGACTGTTATCTCAGGATATCACTGGTCATCCTATCAAGTGTACATGGAAACTCCATTGGCAGAGGCCCACCCTGGCACCTCAAAAAACATGGAAAATGTGTGCTAAGTACATTGCAGTGTCAAACCTTTAACAAAGGTTAAATGCTATAATCTGTCTTGTTTGTAAAATGATGTAAGTACACAGGGACAGGCTGACAACTTTCGGAGTCTGAGGAAACACGATTTGCTGCAGGTTCAGATATCACGTCGGTCAGTAGGCCTCACGTTTCCTGTAAATATAAAGACCTAAAACACAGCAAAATCTTTGCTTAAACTAAACTGTAAGTTACAAAATCCAAAATATATATATACTGTTTTGGTAGAGAGCTTATTTATCAAACTATTTTATCAATTATACTTATTTGTGCAAATATTCTTAAAGTGCCAATCTTATAGTGCAATTTCAATAATCATTTGCATCAAATATTAGTGGAAAAAGTAAAAAAAAAGATTTGTATATATCAGTTTGCAAATTCTTTAAAGTGTCCGTAAACCAAGTGCATTCAAGAATAAACCACCATTTTAAAATACTTTTAAAAAAAAATGTGTGTTATGTGCAAATTACAGTGCTTATAGTACATAATTTAAAACAGGACAGTGTCTCTTTAAATTGCTTAAAATGTACTTTTTTTTAACCTTTTTTGTATGCCTACAGTATTGTTGGAATCACTCTTTTATGCAGGAATAAAACCTCAAAGATAAAACATAAAAAAACAATTATAGTGCAGACAAAATAAGGAGAAACTTGCTAAATTGTTAAAATGTCAATTCACAAAGGAAAAGCCAGGAATATGGCTCAATGTTGTAGCATTGGAGTCCTTTTGTAGGGGGATCTCTTCCTCTTCCTTGGAGGTTTGTTGTCTTGTATGATGGTAATTTTATATGTAATAAAAAGGACATTAACAAATAGCGCAATATGTAGAAAAAGAGATATTGAGCATTTATAAAAAATATCAAAATCATATCACTAAATGACACTTTTTTAAGCGCCTTATAACACACATTTTAGCAGTTATTTAAACTGTTAGCTTATCTAGTGGTTGGTGAACTATTTTTTTCAGTACAGCTCATAAAACACCATTATTTTCTGAAAAAAACAAGAACTCCTGTCATCAAGGCAGATAGAACCCCTTCACCAGAAACAGATTGTGCAAAATAAAATTTCTAACAAAATAGAACATTTACTGAATTTTGGTATACTATTATATAATAATCGAGCTGTTTATTTTAATATATTTTATTATTATTATTAATATTATTATTATTATTGCCATTTATATAGCGCCAAACAGATTCCGTAGCACTTTACAATATTATGAGAGGAGGGATTTAACTATAAATAGGACCATTAAAAGAAAACTTAGAGGAACGATAGGTTGAAGAGGACCCTGCTCAAAGAGCTTACAGTCTATAGTATCTTTAGTGTCTCTTGTATTGAATCGACATTCGGGGGCAGTATATTTCAATACATTTAGTACTTGTACTGAGACAGTAGGTAAATGAATGATGACATCATGACAATCTAATGAGCAGGTATGTGTTTAGGACTGTGTTCATGGAGCAACATGCAAGCCAGATCAACAATGTGATTCCTTGCAAGGTTACACGGGCAAAATACAAATCTATACTCAATTTAAAGTGAATGAGAGGAATACCTCCACTGTATAAAAGTATTGTGTAATTAATTAATATAAAGGTGAAAACACAATGTTTCAGTTCTATAAAAGTCCTTTAAAGGAAAACTCCATTAAAAAATAAAATGTAGAAGACATACACCCCACCACCACCACAAAAAAAATACATTAAATCTTGGCTTGCAATAGCTGCAGATCTATTATCTGCAGCTACTGAAAGCCCTCCCTTTTTTCCGCAGCACAAACTTTATGTGGCTGTCCCATTTCTCAATGAGTTGTATTTGCAAGTCTTTTGTAAGTCTTTGCAATGCAGGTGGTCTGAGCAATTTGCCTATCTCTTGAGTTTAGGAGCTTAAAGGGACACTTTAGTCACCAGAACAACTACAGCTTATTGAATTTGATCTGGTGTGTAGAATCATTACCGTCAGGCTTTTTGCTGTAAACACTGTCTTTTCAGAGAAAATGCAGTGTTTACATTACAGCTTAGTGATAACGTCACTGGCCACTCCTTAGATGGCTGTTAGAGATCCTTCCAGGGTCATGGCTGCCTAAAATGCATCCAAACATTCAGTGTCTCCTCCCTCTGCATGCAGACACTGAACTTTCCTCATAGAGATTCATTGATTCAATTCATCTCTATGAGGAGATACTTATTGACCAGGGCTGTGTTTGAATTGTGCTAGCTCTGCCCCTGATCTGCCTCTTTGTCAGTCTCAGCCAATCCTCTGGGGAAGCACTGTGATTGGATCAGGCTACCACTTCTGTTGATGTTAGCAGACTGCTTGTTTTTCTGACGCAAAAAGCATGCAGATCTACAATTTCAGGCTTGAATACAGTAATATTTTGCTATATTTATGGAGCCATGAGGGGCCCAGGGGTGCTAGATGGTGGTTTTAACACTATAGGGTTAGGAATACATGTTTGTGTTCCTGACCCTATAGTGATCCTTTAATTAACAGTAAGTAACAGGACTGGCTGTTTGACAGCTGGGGAGGTATAACGATGTTAATTTATGAAAGTTTCTGTAGAGTAACATATATCTCATACAGAGCACACTATCCAGCATTTTCTCTGTTTGTCCTCCAGAACCTGTTGTATTTTTTTATAGTTTTCATTCGTATTCCAAACTGAAGACCTCAAGTGTATAGGTAACAGATTTATGGAATAAGAAAAAAATGTAACTTATAACACGATCAGTGATCATACTAATCCTCAGCGCTCAGCAATGGTGTCTCACGGTGGTTTATTATGCCATTAAACGTAGGGGGTGGGGGGAAGAAAGCAACACTTCGACACAAAGATGTTTCTTTTTCAAGCCATAATTCTAAGTGTATCATAAAGTGTTATATAGGTGTTGATAACCAATCAAATCACACATTTACATCACATGTCAATCACAATTAGTGAATACCAACTTAAATGATACAAAAAGTTAACCCTTTAGTATTGCAAGCCGGAGTAACACGTAGAATGCAATGTATGAAAGTATAGAACAATTCATTGTGCAATAAAAATGTCACTATTTGTGCAATTGAATTTCCATAAATAACAATGTGTTACAATTTATTTGTGCAATTTATTTGAAAGCTTCTCCACATATCATATACTAATCATTTTTAAAAAAGTGACAACATGATCACGAATCATTATAAAGCTTTGCTATATTTAAAGTGACAGTTACTCATATCTATCCTCTGTGTAAAGTGATGTGATTTAAAACTTTTTAACCATTTGTATAATACCAATTTGCATTAAAAAAAAATGGAACCTCTGTTGTGTTTATCTGGAGGAAACAAAAAATATTGATCTGCCAATATAAAAAAAAAGGATCTTATAAAAAAAAAAAGATGAAAAATACAATATGTTAAATCATGAACGACTGAAGCATTGTGATATACTGTTGAGCAAGTAAGTTAAAAGAAAGGGTCCGGGGGCGCCCCCACATACCCCAGCAGGGGCAAGGAACATAGAGACAATGCATCTAAAATGGTGCCGGCCGGGACAAGCAAGGCTGCGGAAACACCAGAAGGCACTCCATCAACAACACCACACTCACATTGCCACAAAATGGACTTAGCACAATGTCTGCAGGGGATGGCTCAGCTCCAGTCACCCAAAGGGACTTCCACAACCTGGTGGGAGAAATCAAACGCCTCCTAGCAGCAAACGTAGCAGCCATACAGGCAGATATGCAGAAAGTCAGTGACAGAGTGCAAACAGCAGAGGGGGATATTGCCGACCTGAAACAAGGTATAAACACAGTACAGGAAACCATCCAACACATACAAATCATGCAACAAGCCCTTTCCCTGCACCAAGCCGCACCGGTGAGACGATTGGTCGCCACCATCCTACCGGCTGCACAAGCCAAAAAAGTCACTCTAGACGGGACATATCGCCTACCTAAATCCAGCAGAGCTCCAGCAATGGCTAAACAAGATGCCATAGTGCTATTCTCTAACTCCTATGACAAAATAGCCGTCTGGTCGGCACTGCGGGGCAAGACACCACTCATCTTTGAAGGCGCTAGCCTCACCTTCTATCAGGACCTCACAAGATCCACCCTGCAGTGGCGGAGCTCCCTCCAACCTCTCACAAGCCAGTTGAGAACTGCTGGCATCAAATACCGCTGGATGTTCCCCAGGACACTGGTAGTGAACCATGAAGGGACAGTACATAGACTCTCGTCAATGGCAGACACCCCGACCCTCCTCACGGCACTAGGCTTGCCAACGCAGGCACCGACAGATGGGGGACAGACAAATGCCCGCAGCTGGAACCCATCCCGAGTGGCCCCGTTCGAACCCACTGCCAACCCAGCCGTACAGACAAGGACCTGAAGTCCCAGGAGACTGTAAATCTGTTTGCCAAAAAGTTAAACCAGAACTTGTTTTATGTTACTCACAGTTACTTTCCATATGAACATACACCACACACGAGAGGCCTCTTAGGAGGACCTAACACCCCTAGACCTCTAAAGCCTAGAGATAGGGCACTACAAGGCAGGTGTCCTCTGATAGGGCACTAAAAGGCAAGTGTCCGGCCCCACACCGGCCAGCTCTCCCCCCGTCACTCCCTTGGTAAGGGGTAACACCTAAGGAGGGCAAGCTAACTCACACTCAACAACCATAACTCACGTAGTAATACGATGGCTCCGCAAAGAACTGCCCGACCCGACCCATAGTTAACACCTCTCCAGATTAACTATCACACAACTCAATACCACAAACACACTCACAAAAAAAAATGTGCAACGTCTTAGCCATGACAAAGTTGATCTACTTTAACTAAAAATTTACAATGTCTTAGCTATGCCAAAGATTGCTTCTGAATTGCTCGCACTCGCTATTGTGGCACTGCAAGCACGTTTGTACTCATTTGCACTAAAAAAAAAAAAAGAATAAAAAAAAAAAAGAAAGGGTCCGTTATATAAAGAGAAAAAGTAATTTGAAAAAAGTTTGATAATACAAAATATAGTAGAATTCTTTTTTGCAAATTACTGTACATAATCTCACAACAAGAATTATAAAAACCAAAATACCAATTTAAGATTTATTTGTAATGAATATTGTAGATAATCATATAAGTAAGTAAACTGACATGGCTTCAGTCGGTATACTAGTGAATAGAGAAACAAGGAAAAACAAAGAAAACATCAGAGTGTGCAAGAGAGAGTTCTCACGGTGTGTGATCGGGCTTAAACCAGGAGTTGGATAGCTTGTCAGTCCGCGCCAGTTCAGCCGATGCCCATTTTGGAGCCTTTGAATGCAGGGCTGGTAGGAATGTTGCTGAGTCTCCCCAGCTGCTCTTCGGTGTCCCGTGTGTCTACGGCAGTCACACTGCGTGAACCAGAGGAGGCTCTCCTTCTGCCCTGGGACCTTCCAGAAGCCAGTACCAGTGTCTCACGGACTCGCCGCCATCTTGGGGCCAAGTCCTTTCCCCGTGTGGGGTTGTGCAGGTTCGCACTTCGTTGCTGTCCCAAGCTTACTTTCCTCTGCAGGTGTGATTGGTGTGTAGGGGTCGTGCCCCATGCAGCTCCTCTCCCAGGTGGGCCAACAGGCTGGCAATATCTGGTTCTGATGTGAGTTTTGCCTGCCTGGCCGTCGTGCTGTAGGTGCTATGATCTTGTTGCAGGCCGG